AATGCTGAGAATAACTTCATCGTGATGTTAATTTTCTTAGCCTTTAAATGTTGTAAGAGAGAAGGTAACTAAGGATTTTTGTTTGCACATTCTTATGACTGAAATGATGTTTACCATTTACAGCTGTTTACCAAACTCTATACCATATTTCTGTGTGATTCAAGTCCCTTCTGGAGGCAAGAGGAATGACACTGAGGCGATCCAAGAAGAGTAACAGAAGTCATATATCTCATTCCAGTGTTCTTATGTGGTAAGTGGTGAGCAGGTAAATATTTGTCAGAGAAAATTAAAAATGGCATGCTTTAGAATGAGTTCAAGCAGGTATGAAAGCGGTAATTGCAACAATAAAAGAGGAATTGTATCATCTTTGCTCTTGTATAGCATGTGGGGTGCCACGAGAAGATTCACATTTGAGTAGCATCAGTAAAAAAAATCACTGACTTGATTAATTTCATACTGGATGTTTGTCTTAGGCCTACATCTGGAGAGAGATACATAGAGAAAACTCAATACCTGTGTGGTAGGAGCTGTCTCTCTGATTCATGGACTTCGCAGCAAGGTCATATCCAACTGTGTGTACATGATAGGTGTCTGTTTCTATTTAAACTCTGTGAAGTATAGTTGATGGACACAAACAAGATGATTTAATTTCCTAAGCTTCCTCTAAAACATCTTATAGAGAAATTTTAACAGATTATTTTTATTATAGATAAGAGCAATAATAAACACTGCATTGTGCCTTCCTAAAGCAATCTGCAGTTTCAAGATGTAAATTATCAATTTCATAACAAGTGGAGTCATTTTCTATGTGCTAGATTTTAAAGTTTTGTTGAAAAAAGTGATCTAAGACTGGAGCCCAATACTTTCTGCTTTAATTCATTATATTATTTGAAGTACTAGCTATTTGAGATTGTGTAGATGACTAGCATAATCTTTTTCCTGTGTCTAACATCATTAATAGTGGTATCATAAATGGAAGGCATGTTTTTATTAAAACTAAAATGTTTACCTTGGTGAAAGTTTGGCAGAAACATTCCCAGGATGTACTGGTGCTGAATTCCCTCAGAAGCTAGGATAGCTATTCCCAGCTTGCACCCCAGTTTTCTTACTAGCTCACCAAAACAAATGAGAACAAGCAGAGAAGCTGCAAACTGGGGGTTCTCAGAGGGCTCTGAATAACTCTGCCTTTGTCTGACTAAGCCCTTCAAATCCAGGGGAACGATGGGGTTGCCTCCTATGCAGAGACTCCAGAGTCTGAGCATCCATTGGACAACATGCTCAGGAGAGAGTTGATCTGTACAGCAGGCAGAGAACAAGTTCCTCTCTGTGGTAAACTGTCTTCTGGGAAGAGAAATCGGTTTTGAAATAATCTGCAAATGGAATTACAGTTGTGTCAGCAAGCTTCCTTTTAAGCTGTCAGCCATATCACATGAAGCATTTGACAGTTCTTAGTTACCCTTTCTTTAAAGAATTGATTGAGATAAATTCCAAATACCGATAGCACTTACATACAAAGACTTTTTTTGCCCTATTGATTCCAGAAATAACTGGGCAAGTTGTAAATCTGAGGTTCTAGCCCAGTGGGATGATTTAGAATATTATACAAATTGAAGCAAGTTCTTGTTCACTTTTGAATTGCCTTTGAAACCTATTGCCTCGGTTTCCCTTCCTCATTTCACCTGAAATTGCAAAAAAATGTTTTGTTTTTCTTGGAGACAAGTGTTATGCTGTATAGCTTTGTGTAGACCTTGGTAGTATAACTAAATAGGTGAGAGCTGGGTTTATTGTCCTATCCCAAACTGCTGCAGAAACTGTTCATCCTCTGAGTCAACAGATCTCTGGACAGTTGCATAATAGTTCCTGTGAGAATGGGAGGATATGATCTGACAGGAATATTAACTGTAGTGCTGATCACACATCTCTTGGCTGAGATCCTGTGTTTCTGTTAAATAGAGGGCATGCAGGTGAGCAGCAAGTGTGTAGGACCTCACAGAAATCCTCCTGCATTGGACCTGACTGCATATTGTGGGAAAGTGAGCTAAAATAGTACCAAATAGCAATGTGATCATTTTCCAGATCTTTAGCTTGAGATATTCTCGAGTTTCATGGGCTATATTTTCTGCCTTCACAATGCTTTAAAGTAAAACTTTGTGTATAATTGGTTTTGGCATGGCATGTGTAAACAGAGATGGCAGTTTCTTCATCTGCAGGAAAATGTACCAGCATTCAGTCTTCAGAGTAATAGTGGGTAATGGTGGTACAGCATTTGTTCTTTTAAAGATGTATTGCTTTATAAAACAAATATACTACAGCCTAAAGAAGCTAATGAATTATTAATGTAATCTGAGCTTAATTTTAATTCCAAGTTTGTGAATAAGTTGTTATACTCTTAAGTGCCACATTTCTTGGTAATATTCTTCCCTTTTTATGCCAAACCAGCATCTGATATAGCAGGAGGAAAATGAGGTGTGTGGGACAGTTTTCTGGCTAGAGGGCTGGCTCTGTGAGATGCTGTTACAGGCAGGACATGAATTAGGTGAATCCCAGCAGATTTCTTTGATTTGTGACTGTCTATATAAGCACTTTTACCAAATGAACACTTGACTAGAAATCTTCATTTCCATCACCTGTTTACAACCAATTAGGCACTAAAGCTTTTTAAAAGCCTTTTTACTGATAGCATAACTTATCAATACTTAGATCTATGGGTTTAGAGACTTTTCTTTCCTCTATAAATAGCTTCAGCTATGTTCAGCCACATCAAAGCTGGAGAGCAGTCTTGCAGGTTTTCTTCATTTGCTCCCTTTGCCTTGAGAAAAAAAAAAAAGAACCTAAATTTGGTTCTTTTACAGGCATGAACCCATGACAGTTAGATTTCCACATGCTGCAAATTTGAGATGTGCTTTCTGTAATACTGCAAAATTAGAGAAGAGGTATTTACATTACTTCCTGTTGAGATAAAGACTTTAAACCTTTCAATATTTTGTGTTGTTTAGCAGATGCTTAGGTATTTGTGGTCTGATTATTTAACATTTTTATGTATTATGTTGCATTAAATTGATCAAGTATAAGCTGCTAACATCATATGTAAATAGTAACTTTTTTGCTTGTCTATGGCACTGTAAAAGTAGGGAGTGAAACTCATAATTGTACAAGTAAAGTAGGAAGCTTTTAGGTTTAGCCTAGTAAGGACTAGGCTAAAGTGAGTTTTGTTTTTTTACTTGAGGTATTGCTACAAAAATAATCTGTAGCTGAGCAAAATAATATTTGGATTTATTATTTAATCAATCATAAGTTTTTTTTACTTTTCCAATACTTCTGCAACAAGATATCATTCTTATTTCAGAATTGTGGCAGTAGGTTTATTAGCCTGTTTTCTGGAGTGTGAATTTGATAGGAATTCCTAATTCTCTCAGTGAAAGGTACTTGAAAAACCCCCAGTAGTGGACTAGTCTACCAGTGGTTCAGAACAAGTGTCAGAGAGCAGTTTTCTGAGCTTTTAACATGTTAATAATTCTGCTACATGCATCAAAACATTAAATGAATTCTGCTAACTACCTCATGAGTACATATTTTTGATTGCCATGAAAAATGTTGGTGCTTGTGTTTATTACCTTTAAAGACCTTCTGTCTCCATCTGTTTATATAGCTGCTGTGCATGATGACTGATGTTGCCAACTGGTTACTTCAGCTCCGTGACAGAGCAGATATAAAAAGCTCTTCATGTATACAGAGATAATGTCCTCATCTCCTGCTCAGACAGTCTATAGATATGCAGAAATTCTCAGTGCCATATTTCAGTTCTGTTACTGTCAATATATTGCTAATAACTATTGACAGATAATAAATATGCTTTTTAATAACACTTATTTTCTGTTAGTGCTGCTTGTGGTTTTCAGATGGGTAGGGCAAAAAGTAACTTTCCATGGAGACTGTGGGTCTGACCTGAAGCTTACTGAAGTCAGTAACCAAATAATCTGATTTCAGTGACCTTTCCATCAACATGGCCCTTCATGAAATGGTAGAGGCTTTTGTGGATCAGTGTGAAGTCTTGTCCTTTCTCGGTTCCTGTATCAGTGAGACTGTGTTCAAGTAGCTGCTTTGTGTCATTGTGAAATCATCTTTAGCTTTTGCTTGGTATTTCCTCATTCCTAATCTAAAAGAGGGCATGATGCCAAACCCCTATATATTTGAGATTCCCATCTAGCTGTTAAATGGGTTTGAAATGAGCTGATGAAAAAGCTAGTAATGGGAAAGTTGTCAGATACACAGGCATAAAAACTTCCACAGATGCACTGTGAGCATGCCACCTTTGTTCCCTTGGATAATGTTAGGAGGGGAAGAAAGTTCTTTAATCATTTTATTTCCTGGAAATTATGTTTTTTAGAGAATTGCTGTCTATTTGACTCAACACAGCAAACAACAGAGAGTGTAAAGTAGTTTGCCAGGAGTGAACTAAGAATTGTTTGAAGGTAACGTTTGCAATTGAAATGGATGGTTTTTTGCAACTCTTGGTGTCCTTGGCTGTCTGGCTGAAAATTACACCTGAGATCTCACCAGCCTGGAATCACAGCATCAGAGACTGCAAACCAGTTTTTCCTTGCTTTAATACTCAATTGACAATCAGAAGTTGTTGACATAAATGTGGTGTGTGTTGTTTAAATAACAAACATTAAAGCTCTTATGAACTGGAGAATACTAGTCCCCTGTAGTGCTTTTGTTTGCATTTCTATTAACAAAATCAACTTTAGCCTCTTTCACTTTGGAAGTGTGGTTATGGAAATCAGTATTGTTAAAATACGTTTGAATGCTGAATCCTTTGTGAAGTATTTTGGTGGGTAAGCCCAGATACAAAGAATTAAGAACTGCCACTTAAGTTTGTTAGTACAGTTGAAATTGGCATTGTTTATCAGAAAAGTCCAGGAGTACATTGGCTGATATTTTTCAACACATTATGGATTGCCTAAAAAAAAAAAGAAAAAAAATCACTGGTTATACTGGATGTAAAAATATGTATGTGATATCTTTTCTTAGTCACCTTTCACAGACCTCAAGATTGTTCATGGTGCCCACTGGACGTAGAGATCCAACCCAAAATGTCACTGTTGTATAGCTTATCCCAGAGGAATCTCAGAATGGGAAAATAGGTCAGAATAAGAAATAATTTCTGTTTTAATTAAATTGTCCTGTCTTGAGCACACCTGAACATTTTTTTGAAAGCGCTGTATTTCAAAAAAGGTAAACATTTTTCTGTCCTTTTGTTTTGTCTTCTAGATAAAGGGCTTGGTTTGTTAATAATATCCTGTGTAAATTAAGTTACATGTGGTGCTTAGGTGCCCATATATCAATCCTGTAAGATGTGTGGTCATGCAGTGCCAGACATCAGTGCCACTTTATGAAGTTGTGGCAAAACCTGCACAGACAAAATCTGTGCATCCTGGAATGTTTTCTAGAGGCATTGTGGCTGTCATTGTTACCTGGTGCTGGTGTGGGAGCAGTGGACACCTTAAGGAGTAAGGCTGGGATGGGCCACGTGTTGTCTGGTGCCAACATCCAGAAATGACATGAGGACAGTTTGAAATTCCTGCTCTAAACCCTCAGTACCACCTTAGAATCGGACTTAGATAAACATTTCTTTTAGCTAACAAGCTGAAGGTTTTGTGCTGCTCAAATTTTTCTTGATTATTATTTGTTGAATAATCTTGTCAGTGTTAGCAAGATAACGTCTAATTTATCTGTTCTATTTTATCTCTTCTGTTCTTTCCTTTGGAGGTCAGTAGGTTGAAGTTAAGTTTATTTTGAAATACTGGTAAGGTAGAGTCTTTGCATATAATTGGTAACAGATTTTCTGATTTCAGAAGGAGTAATTTATTGTGGTCTTCTGACTACATGAATTAAATTCACCATGGAATTTGTAAAAGCCTCTGATTTCTTTTGTCTTATCAGTTTTCAGATAAGCCGTGTGCTTTTCTTTAATTTAGTAAAGCAACATTACCTAGCAAGTCTAAATAATGTGTGCTTTTAGATTGTTCAGTTATCATTAGAGATCAATTTTCTTGAATAGAGGATGCTTTGTGTTCATCCCAGGTTTAAAGGCTACATTATCATTGTCAGTTACATAAATAAATGTAACACTGGGCTGTGTAAGTGGAAACTGAGCATCTTCCTCATGTGACAAAACCCTCATGAAAGTAATAGAGGCGGAGGAGGAAAAAAGAAACCAGTCTCCTTCACTGTTCTGTTCTCCCAATACACTTAATGCCTCACCTACCAGTGAACCCAGACTTGTAGTGCAAGTCCATTAATGTTATTTAGTTATAGGTGTAATTTATTCTTGTTTATTACATCGCTAATTCTGTGAAGGTTATTTTAAGTCGAAGAAATTAATGGACCTGTTAACTAAAAAAAAAAAAAAAAAGTTCTGTTATTTGGCAAAACACTGTACTCATCTTTTTTTTTTTTCCCAGGGTGTGTTCTGACGTCACAACAGAATATACCTCACTGCCTCAGGACTTAAAGTAACTCGTAACATTTTGAAAACTAAGGCTTAACTGTGTGGGTATGTTCTGAACAGTATATAAGATACGAGAGAACCGCTTTCAAATAGTGTATGAGGTTTAAGAACTAAACCAAAAAGAAGTAACATCAGATGCCCTGTGTTAATCCCAACTTTGATTCATTTGATTATTTTGTGCTGGTGTCATTCATGCAGGAGACCTCAAGTAAGGAACGAAAGCAGAGGAGGACAATAAATCTGGTGTTGTGGGAAGAGAGAGAAAATTGCAGATATAGGAATGGGATAACCGAGGATGATGAATGTTAGAAGCTTCAGTAGGTAAGCTGAAAAGGATAGTTTTGTGACTCATCAAAAATGCGAAGGATTATGGACTGGGGAACGACAGTGCAATGTTCAAGGGATGAGTATGTAAGATTCACTCAGTGACGTCTCCATTTGTTTCAATTTACTGTGCAAGCCAAAGGACATTACTTAACCTTTCATTCCCTCAGTTCCCATGAGAAAAACAGATGATGATAATTTTCTCCCACTTCTTAAAAGTATGGGAAGGACAAATGCATAAAGTGTTGTTTGGAACCGAGCTGGTTGTGCAAACTTGTGTGGTCCTCACGTCTGAATGAATATAGGCCACAAATTACAGAGCACAGACAGTATTTATTTTCAAGGAGAAACTTCTGGAATTTGCTTTTCTAATAAACTAATACAGTTTTTCTTTCCTGTCAGATTTGGGCTTTCTTAAGAAATACAGGAAAGTCTTAGATTATTTTCCACAGTGATAAGTAAAATTATTCTTGTCTTGAATGTTTATTCTTTATCAGACCATATTCAATTTACTCATTTTTCTCCTTCTTAGGAACAGAAACACTGAGCTCTAATGGAACTACAGTTCATTAATTTTATGTTGAAGATGATGAAAAATAGAAGTTATATAGGCTTTTCCTGGTTCTGTTGGATTAAAAGAATCCATAGAAATTAGTGTTAGAGAAATGGGCAGAAACTCTGTTGAAATGACAATATCTGTAGCTGCATCCATAGCTACTTTAATGTGTTTGTTTGGATAAAAGGAATGATTGTCAAATATATTATTTCTGTGTTTTGCCAGCAGATTTAATTTCAATTACTTTCATACTATATGCTTCACGTGTCTGAAAAGAAATCAGACTTTCAGCAAATCTTTATCCTGCAAGTGGGGTAATGGCAGGTGAAGAGTAGGTGATATAACTTGACCTGTGGCTATATTTGGTTATAAAAATTTCTAAAGTGCCAAGTAAGGTGGAATTACTCTACAAACAAAGGAAATAAATACTGCAGTTGGCACGAGTTCTTTGGGAACATGCCAGTCTAGATATGATTGTGCATTTTTGCTGAGAATGTCAGATCAGCTTGTTTAAAGCAATGTATTCTCTTGAGCTTTGTCTACACTTGGTTTTGTTGTTGTTGGGTTTTATTTCTGTGTTGCCACCCTAGACCATAAAAGAACATAAAATTGAGATGAGATGGACAAAGGTGACTTTATCTGATCTGTAACTGCATGGACTGCTAATTCTAGTTGACTTGTTGAGACCATGGACATTGCAGTGGGGCTGTTCCCCAGCTTCCTACAGATCAGTCAAGATCAAACCTCTCACTGCATCAATTCCTGTAAAGCACTGTTAGTCCTAAAGATTAATGACAAGCTTTCTTCCAGTGGTTCAGCTCTTGGCATCTAGTTCTTGACCTGAGAAGTCAGTATTTCCTTTTTAGGATAATAGGATAGGACTACCCTTGAAGTATCATGAATACTGTTATTAATGCGAAGCCTGGTGGCAAATTTCTGTCATGGAGCCTGGAACTGCATTGGAAATCTAATGTAATGTGGAAAACCCTAAATAATTTTAAATTGGAATGGCTTCAGTCCACACTGAACTGTATTTTGATTTATGTAAGATGAGCAATGGAGAATTTGAAAGAGTGGGGTTTGATCTATTCAAGTAGGGTTCCCTACCTCTTTCTAAAATACTTCTGTTGGCTGCAGGAGTGAGGTTTTCTATACTTTAAAATTGTCTGGATATAAAATATAACTACTTATTTTTTAAACACTGTGTTTTCCAAGTTAAAGGGATAAGCATAGGTAAAGGGACTTGACAGTTGATTCCCATTTGGGATTAGAATTTTAACTTCCTTTAGAGCTGGAAAAGTAACACTTCTTTGTTTGCCATATTGAGAAAGGAGCATTGAGTAACATCATAATGTGTAAAGGAGTTAAAAGCTGCACAATATTACTACACAGTTCTTAATTCTTATGATGTTACCTCTTCCCTCTTCTATATTTGCCTTTTTTAATGAGGAATGCAATTTAAATGGACATTGCTTTGGATGCAGCTTCATCAAATGGAATTCTTGCACTTGCTTATTTTGTGAAACTCTCTATCCATACTCTTATTAATTTTTTCTCACTGTGGTCAGACTGTTTAGGTTTCTGCATGTTTTTTCCCTTGGCAGCTGCAGTTCATAATATATTGTATAATATATTGTAATGTCCTACAAGTGACATGAGAAAAACACGTTAATATCTTAATTCTCACTTGTCTCTGAATGTATTTACTCAATGAATACTAACCTTATTTTGGGGAAGATGCCTTCAATCATTTTTTAATCAGATTTCAATAATATAAACTGAATCTCCATTTGTTGCTTTTTAGATTTGTCTGACAAATATGATATCTTAGTGGTTTGGTTTTATGTGTTTTATTTATCTCAAATTTTTCTTCTGCTCCAGTGTTTCATAATGGTTAACATGAAATGTTGCCATATTTCACTTAATGCTTTCTGTGTGTGCATGGCTCCTAAGCTGCCATTCTTTTGGATGATATATTAGTTTTACCTGCAAGATAAAGGTTTTATATATATATAGATATATGTGGTGTTAACATCAGTATAGTTCTTGCAATGCAATGTCAGGTAACTCAGAACATGAGCTAAGACAGAACAAAGTGTACTGCTTGTTAAAATTCTTCCTGGTCTGTTGTAAAGGTTACTGATCTCTGGAGAAAGATAATACATCACATGTTTAATAGCTTTTTTGGTTTTCTGCTTTATCTACTATTTTAAAAATCTTTTAAAGTTAAACTCATATAAACAGGTTTTACTGTGAAATTTATGGGAAGAACAAAACCCATATATGTTTACTCATTTCCTGTCATATGTCCAATACTACAGTAGCAGATTATTTATATTCTGTGTACTTCCTGACACAAGCAAGTAAAATCTGGAGTTAGTGAAATCATTAGCTGAATACAATCAGTACTTTGACATGGAATGGATACAAAGTTCCCTGTGTTTTTTTCATCTCACTGCATTAATCATAATTTATTTTACCCCTAATTTTCCTCTTTCATGTTTTTACAGAGTGTAAGGTTCCCATGTGTGTGCGTGGCACTGGAGTCACAAGTCACACATAGTAGTTTTCTGTGAAGTGTAATAATTGACATCCAGTAAGGGCAGGTTACAAGACACTGTTCAGAGCTACTTCAGTACCCAGCTCATTTGTGTGTTGGGGCACTAAAAAGAGCTGTTCTGAAAGAGATAAGAGTGCTAACATTGACACTACCACTTCTGTTCTATATGAAAACTTCTCGCTTGTGTTTTTTAAAATACTTTTTTGAAGACTGCTGTGATTTTACCTTTGTTTGGCGGTTCACGTGGATATGTGGTAAAAATTATGCTAGTGTGCTAGTAGCCACATTGGCCGTGTGTACACTGTCAGTCCTGTTGTTTCTGTTCTAGTAAAGATCAAGTATAGAATTTGCAACGTGTGTCAGGCAGAAAAAACCCTGGATTTGCAAACAGGATTACAGTTCCAGTACACAAGGTATTAAGTAAACTATGAGGTGACCATTTCTTAAATCTCTGCTATTTTCAGCATTATATTGCAGAAAAAAAGCAATTTATAGTTTTACTTCAGCTTGAAGCAGCTTCTGGAGGAAGACAAATGGGTAAAGAGATAAACCATCTTTAGTTTCCATCCTTACATCTTCATAATCCAGGAGCTTTGGAAGTTACACAACTTGAAATTTTATGGTTCTTGCACGTTTTTGTAGGGTTGGTTCTGTCAACATAGTTGGGTGGTAAGACTGATCATCTGGAATACCAGCTTCTCTCTGAAGAAAGGTGCTTTTCTCCAGGTGATCTGCTGGTGTGTGTTAAGATGTGAAGACTGCACATACTTGGCTGGACTTTCTCCCACAGCACAGGATGGAAGAGTTAGGGTGGGCAGGACTGTGTAGTACTGCAAGTAATAAAAACACTTGTAGAAGTTATTGAAGTAAAGGCATCTGAGTGAAGGTACACAGCAATCGTCATAATAGCACAGTACAGATCATAACTGAGTTACTGCCTCTGACAAAAACAGTGAGGAAAATGATGCCCCTTTACTGAGAATACAGGTACAAGAGGGTGTTTATCAGGGGTTACACTACTGTCCAGTGCTGTTACACCCTGTGACTTAGACAGTAGAGGGAGACCCAAGATGACTTGTTACAATGCACCTTGAGTTTTTTTAAATCTACTCGAGGTGTTTTCAGACATTTTTTTTCATTACCATGAAAAAGTGTACAGGCCATATAAATGAATGCTTCTGGTAATTAATGCACTTTATTCACATTTTGTTCCATTGTGATGATTAACTTTTCTGGGCATAGTAGGATAGAAATTGTGATCTACAGTTCTTTGAAGTATATATAGTCAAATTACTTGTAAAACCTAGTCTAAGTGCATTGCTGCCTTCAAGTCTGAGAGAAAAGTTACCTCTTTCAAATAAGGAAATTTGCATCTAAAAGGCACCTTTGGCTCAGTCAGCTGTGTTGATAGTTACTCAGTGTCACCTGTTCCCTGTTAAAGCCTAACCAGTTTGCTAAACTAACATCTATCTAAACCATTGAAATGTAAAGGCTTATATATTAAAAACCTAATGCTAATTTCCTATATGTCTGATATCTTATTTTTTTCTTGGGTAAACGCCAAAAGACTTGAAAATGTTCTTTTTGTTTCCAGAAGATTCACTGAAGTTCTCACTCACTGAATTTTTCTGAATTTTTTCTCTTGGTTCCCTGCAGTGCCCTGGTAAATTAACAACTTTACTCCTTAGCTGTAATACCTGTGAAAGAGCATTTGCTTGGCTGACGTTCATGCAGTTCTGTGACGACATTGGTAGCTTCGTTGCTTCTGTAGCCACAATAAGGAGCAAGTGTGCAGTGACCCATCTGTGATCTCTGTAATGCTACTGAGCAGTGCACAGAGACAGTTTGGCCCAAGTCTGAAGGTTATATTTCCTTAAGGGA